GACAACCCCAACCCCAACCCCAAGCTCCTCGCGACACCGATCCCGCCATGCAAGCAGCAGCGTCCAGCGCCTAAGCCAAAGGCCCCGAGCCTCAACACCCCCACTCCCAGACTACGAAGCGCCCATCGCACCCCTCCACAGCGCAGCACAAATCAAGCTCCTATCTCTCCTTAAATCGCAGTCGCTGCGACCGTTGAAGACGCATCTCCAGCACGCGGAGGAGAAGCTCACCGATTCGGCTGGGGAGGTTAATGAGCGGCTTACTGATGCGCGGGTGCGGCTGCAGCGGTTGAAGGAGCGGAGGGGGGAGAGGGAGAATTTTAATGAGGGTGAGGAGGATGGGGCACAGCAGCAGGATGATGAGGAATGGGAGGAAAAGTTGAGGGAGCTTGAGAAGAAGGTCGGGGGTGTTACAGAGCGGTTGGAGGCGCGGATGCGGGGCACGATTGATGGGGAGGTTAGGGTTGATAGGTTGATTGGGGTGCTTGGGACGGTTGAGAGGGAGGTTGAGCAGGAGAATAATGCTGGGAGGAATATGAGGAGACTAGACGCCGGGGTGGGGAGGAGGAGAATAACGACGAGGATGAGGATGAGGATTATGAGGAAGCGGAGGAGAGGGGGGAGGAAAGTGTGCCGCCGACAAGGAGGTTGGATGAGCTACTTGGGGAGAATTATGCAGGGTGGGATAGGCTTTCGTTGACGGAACGGTATGTATTTGGTTTTACTGTTGTTGGTTTCCTTGGTGAGTTGGTTGATGATGAGGCTAATTGGGATTGGATGTTTGTACCAGGTACTCGACCAACAATGCCTACATTGGGTTCTATCGAGTTATTCACGAAGCGAAACACCCCGGCGAAGATATTCCTCCACTACCGCACGCATCAACGTGGTTCTCACATCTGGAAGATCCAGCTACGGCTTCGGCGCAAGCGCCCGATTCTTCGGCCCGGCGGACGCGTCGTCGGAGATCTCCTTCTCCGGCGGACTCAGATGAGATCGCCATCGAGAGCGAGCGCATATCGCTCAAATGCCCTCTAACTCTACTTTACTTCCGGGAACCTGTGACAAGTACCAAATGTCCGCATAGCTTTGAACGCGAAGCGATTGAAGATATGATTGCGCATAGTTCGACGACTGTTCCCGCGCCCCAGCCGGCGGGAGCCGCCGGCCGTAGCGCGCGTCGTGTTCGCTCGGTCAAGTGTCCGGTGTGCTCAGTTGTCTTGACTGCGGCTGATCTCCGGACGGATCCTGTTTTGCTTAGGAGGCTGCGCCGCCATGAAGCGGCGTTGAGACGGGAAGCGGAAGATGATGAGTTATCCGATGGGGCGCGGAGAAGACAGTCTGGGGCTAGGAAAAGCGGGATCACTCTCGTTGACGATGATGGGACGGAGGACGGTAATGAGATGGATGTGGATGATTCGGACTCGGATGATAGGCAGGATGCAGAAAGTTTCCGCAGCCAAGATCATGTACGGATCAAACAGGAGATGAGTACAGCTCCTGTCGACGATGATTAGTTGATGAACATTTCGAATTATATCTCTGTAAGTTCAATAGATACCCGACGGCGTTGCTCGGGCTTCAAACAAGACTATTCTACCTTGTTAGTCAACCCATCACTTCTGAAAATCAATATTATTATTGAATCGTGATTAACCATGCCTCTCAATCGGGACACGGGAACTGCTTCCTAGATTACATACACGCCCGCCGTGAAAGCTGGAGCATGAGCCATGATCCCGGTATGTGCCACGAAAGTTGGCATGAAATAACAGAAAACCAAGTAAACTCCCCGTGCGCCCCCAGTAAACAATACAAACACCAGAAGAAGAAGGAAAGTTACGAAGAAAAAATCAGGACCGCACTAACAGGGGTATTGTCCAAGGGGCTATTGTTCTGCCTTGAGTCGTCATGGGGCACACAGATTTGTTCCCAACGTGTTGATATCCTCGATGCGTGTCCGATAGACAGTTCGCTAAAAGATTTCCAGCTGAACAACAAGTCGTGGGGTATTCTAATAACACAGAGCTCTAGAGCGACTAGAACTGGATGATTCTGCTGCGGTCGCATCGTATCCGGACGCCGCATTTCCCAGAGAGTGAAAAGAAAACAAACTTCCATGGCTCGATAGCGCAAGAAGATCGGCAATTCAATCATTAGAAGTCAACTCATTCGATCAAAACTCAACGCGTTTTTTTCTCTACACCAAGGGACTTTTGAACTGTCGTCCGATTAATGAAGGTTGACTCGTTTACTTCGTAATGAGGTTGAGATAATCAGCCACGATAAGCGTGACCATCCTAAAGTGGGTCCGTGGGGTTAGCGATAAGCACTTAAGAAAAAACGGCGTGGAGAGTGGGGAGACTAACGCATGGGGTGCGATCCGCACATAGTATGTCCCGAATCCGCGGTAAAACCTCAACCAACCCTCATCCTTGGCAACCTTGCGAGCGCAATCAAGCAAACCCTTGTACGGCAACTGGCCGGTCTTAGGGTCTTTCTGCTGCTTCTGCAGACGAGTCTTGATGAAGTCGAAGGGTAAAGAAAGGAAACTAGCAAAGAAACCAGCAATAGCGGAAGCAGCAAAGGTCTGGTTTTGAGCCGATAGGGACGTGTGGGCCTTCAGTTGAGCCTTAGATTCAGCGAAGAAGGTCAATTGACCGACATTGAGAGCCATCGCCCGCACAACGGTCGGCAAAGCTCCTGCCCACAAGGCTGGGACACCCTCAATCTTCGAGATGCGGAAGAGTGCATCCACCACCGAACGGTAGTTTGCTCGCGCCTCTGGGGGCTTCAGGCCGTCTGACTGCATGCGCACAAGGGCTAGATCAGCCGGATTACCAATCATAGCAGCAATTCCACCAGCGGTAAGGCCCGCACCGGCGCGCTCCGCGAAAGTGACCTTTCTATTTGCGGCTTCGGCGCGCTTATTGAGTGTTTTACTGAAAGTGTCGAAGAAACCTAAGCGGGCAGTAGTGTAGACGGCTTGACGGAGTAAGCCTGCCGATAGACCAGTATAGAGATCAAGGATCTTTCCGCCGGCAATGATGTCGCGGGCAACGCCGAAAGCGGTCGGGCGAGGGCCAGTTCGTACACCCTCCCCTGCCAGCTGAAGGCGCACCTTAATCATGTCAATTGGCTGAATGACGGTGGTCGCTGTCATTCCCGCTAGGCCACCATTAATGAAAGGAAGGGCCGCACGGGTGTAGGGGTGGTGTAAAAAGTCCATTGCGGCCTGAGATTCTTTGGCAGTTGGAGAAGCCATCTTGATCACAAAGAGGAATTACAACAAGCCTGGAAAAGTCAGCACACGGTTTAGTACCGAGCGGGCATTTGAACAGATGACGGCAATAGTAGTGAGAGCAGAGCATGTGTGACCATCCACTAACCGATGGCAGCAGTAATCAGGAGACGTTACGCAAGTGCGACTGGAGACGTATGACGGGGAGGAGAAAAAAGATCGATGGAGCTTACCAGCGAAGGATACGGTAGTATATAGCGGATACTACACGAGAGACACGAAAAGAGGGGAAGAGGAGTAACAGGAGCAGATACGAAAATAGAATCCGACGTGGACGAGAAAAAGCAGGGAGAGTAAGTGAGGGGAAAGAGAAGAGATCGACTGAAATAGAAGGAAACAGTGAAGTGAGTTCTGGTAGCCAGTCAGATGATAAAGCGTGACGCTGCGGGGGATTGGACAGCACATGTACAGTCAGTCAGTCAAGAAGTTTGGTTCAGTCCCAGAGGAGACTTGTTGGGTTATAAAGTTTTCTGGTCGAAATGACGAGACATGGCTAAGATGAATGGCGACACATCAGAGAGTGGAAACAATTACTTGACTAGCAAGTAAATAGTAGTAGTTTCTCATGTAGCGATCTTCGCTAGATAGTACTTAAGGAGGTCCCCACAATCTAAGCATGTCTCCGGTCCCTCTGGTACCTCTCCATACAACGTCATAGTGCTCAGCAAAGCTCTAGACTAAGGATTAACCTGAAACTGTGGTACTACTGCAACATGCCGCCACGAATGCGGGGAACCCTCTGGGGAAACGAGCTCGCCGCTGAATTGTATGCTCTGTTTAACAAGATATACTGGCATGGAATTTTGATCTTGAGATCGTGATTTGGTCAATAGAAATAATGACAATTCCCCTCTTTCTTCGTTAGGGAAAGTATATTCAAGGTAGTCAAAATCATTCGAATACTAGTACCAGCTCCACTGCATGTCACATTCTATGGGAGTGGGGGTCGTAATATTACCGTATCAATGCACTACCCGGGGAAGAACTGCTTAGTCCGTTTGTGGTTCCACGATAACCCGACCTATTTTCCGATGCTGATGAATCCATGAAAATACTATTTATTTGCACCAAGACCAGAGAGCAGTTTCCAATATGATGCTAGTTATATAAAGAATACAGTTACTTAACTATACTTCCGGATAATCACATATAAATTGAACAAGTCAAATTGACATTCAATCCATCCATGGATATACGTATGCGTACATGTACAGGCGATCTTCCAACAAATACCAGTCCATCCACCCGAGCCAGGCGGTACCCGAGGATAGAGATACTCAGGTGGTAAGATCAACTGTATGACTCAGTAATTTTATTCCGCTGTGCTGGCTCGGGTGACAACCCGGGATCCAATCGGAGGATAGCAATTACTGAGGCCTAAATCTACCTACTAGTATTATGGGAGCGTCTACTCGCGGGTTCTAGGGGCGGCACATATGTCTTCACACCGACCTCCAATGATAGGCCTTGTTGTGATATGGTTCAAGGACTACCTAACTTTGCATATAATTATTCCATTCCACTACTCAATTTCAATAGTATACAGCGCAACGACCGCTAAAAACATAGCCGTATCTCCTTTCACCCACAGCAGTCCTTTCCTCCGAGGGATACCCGGGACCCGATAACCGGCACTTGCTATACAGTCTCAGACAAACAGAAAAGAAATTGACTACATAGGATTAGACCCTTTTACGGGTCATCCGAAAGGCACTATATTGTACGGCACAAGAATCCGGACAACTGTTCTCCGGTATAGATGGTATACTTATTCGGGGTTAGTGATTACTACGTTTCATACCACACAGTACGGGCATCCCAGCTTTCTCAAAAGATCTTCACCGATGTATACAATAAGTGTTCCCAATGTGCGGTCTGTAACTCTACCTACACTGCCTGTCTAGATAGATTGGTATTCCCCGAAAAGAAAGCGTAGTGTTATGTTTAAATGCCAATATTGAAGCGGATTATTTCCTTTGGCATCATATATGACTGGGGATAAGGCCCACTTTCTATTAGCCAACAGTTACTAAACCGCCAAATGACAAAGGATCGACTTCTGTATTTTGGGCTGTACGAGATCAGAAAATATCGTTTACGTGGCTAAGCTGTGCGGATACAAGTCGACACATCCTATCAGAAAACACTAATAGAAAATTGCATACAAATCTCGGCAGGCCTAGATACAGTTACCCAGTCTAATTCTAAATGATCAACCCCCAACAAGCCCTCGGAGCCATAGCCGCGGAAAACATCCCGGCAAAGAGATGCCCAACGGCATAGGTCATCGGACTGCCAAGCACGATTCATCATGGTCAGGGTCCTCTTAGTTCTTACTCGGGCCAGAGGCGGGAGTCCCATGCGGAAGCTGGACGGGAAGCGGGAAGGAAAAGGTGGGAAGTCGGTAATGAATGGTTTCCACCCGCTTAGCTACGCGGTCAGTGTGCCGATAGAGTATCCGGCGCTCTTGCCGTGGGGCCTATCGAACTGTCAACTGAACCTTGTGGGGAGCTAGAGGCTGTAGCAAATCATAGAATTGCCGATTCTCGCTGTTGTTATCGGAAGTCTTATCACGTTGGTTATCATGAAGCCATCGTTGGTTAGTAATTATGGTTGTGGGTATTTGTGGGCCTTATGTTGAGGCTGCATGCCAGTCTTTTCTAGAACTTGTATTGCGATCGTAGAGTTGGCCGCCATGCAAATGGGGCGTTGGGAGTGGGTTGAAGATGGATTGGGTCCTAAGCCCTAAGGTGAAGGAGGGTACATGAGAAGTCCGTCACAGTGCCCTCAAAACCATCAACAGAGATCAACCGGTCTCCTCCAGAGCTATCACAATCTCAGCTACATACTTTAATGGCTGTGTATGAGTGATGCTATTGCCAAGCAAGATATATACGCTTCCTGTGGAGGATGTATCCTTCAGGGATTGTGGAAGTCAACTACAATAATTCACTGCTCGATAGGAACCTTGACCACCGTGGAAAACATGCCGCCGATTGGGACTTGTGTTTGCTATATCTCGATATCTTTCGCAAGATATAGTCCGAGTCTCTAACCTTTCAACTATAAATCGTGTTAGTATGACCCTGTTTGAGAATCACCTATCAGTATTCGAGGATTTTACTTCAGTTGAAGAATCTGTTACTACCAGATATTATTCTCTTCAAGCTGTATGAATCTACAATCCGGAGGTCACTTGTCTCCGGTTAGCTAACGTGTATTTCATCCTCCAGTACTTCCAGTACTTGGTGCACGCATATTAGAATTTGGTCATCTGCAATCAAATACCATCTGTAACGACAAGCCACATAGTCATGGGTGCGAGGCCTACTATCAAATTGACCAAAGGAAGGTACAAGAATCACGGCCAGTCAGTGTAGGGCACTGTCGGTGGCCAAGGAGATTAGTGGACACCTAATGGCTAGCCACGTCTCCATTGACGTTGTATGCAGACTTGACATTACAACTGAATTATTCGAGGATCGTTTAAACATCTTGAGACTGTTATCTAGCTCTACCGTTTGACTCTAGACAACAAATAAGCTTGACCGAACAGCTATCATCACGAAAGGGATCCGGTATTATGTCCAGTTCCTCAATTCTCCTAACTGTGCCTATGTGTCGCTAGATTTACCAAATGTTGCGAGAGACTGTTCATTCCTATTAGCGACGCAATGGCTAGTTCCCCCAACATAGCCAGACACTTCACTGACCCGGTCCTACGCAATGGAAACGAAGCTTCGCGGCATATTTAGAGCTTGATTTGCACTGCGCATGTCGACATAAGAGGCAAGCAGGCAACGCTCTTGTACATACGCGAGATATCAACTAGATGTATCCATCGCTTGATTGCTGTATATAGTGAGTACTAGCACAAGCAGTAGCACATGACTCTAATTGCTGAAGTCCAGCAATGATGTGATTCCTTGTGTCCAGAGTGGAGTGTGCTCTGCATCGGGGAATGCGTGTAGAGATTCATGAACTATCATGTATTCGCCTTGAAATACTTGCTAGTGTGCCCAGTGGCATTCAATATTCGGGCGATCATAGATCAATCCAACTACAGTTACTCCTTGGTTGCTTATTGCAAATACTAGTATCCTTATAGCTGGGTGCAAACCAATAGTGGAAGGGAGGGAGAAAAGAAAAGAGGGAAGAAGGATTGGCGAGGCAATTCGAGACAAAAATCTGAGTAATATTTATTTGATTTTTAATTTTGGGAGGCTCACTTGGGTGATTAATCTGACCGTTGATAACTCTTCTTCAAAGCGGCTAAGGGGAATGACGGTAGAAAAGCACTACGAGGAAAGGCATACAGATGTTCATGATAAGTCTAATAAAAATTCATTTCATGTTATCTCACAGGTACTATTGACCAGTCTGAACAGCAATGTCCATATTCGATCATAAAGAAAAGATATTACCGAACGGAATGCGAAATGGTATGACCCAGCTTGTCTTGCCAAGCTTTTTTTAATGACCCAAAGAATAGAACGCGGCACGCCATGCAATATAGAAAAACAAAAGGGAATCAGTTGACAAAGGAAATCGAGCAAAAAATCGCAAACATTCTATGCCAGTACTGGGCCAGCCTCAATGACTTCCTTGGTTGCCTGGTCAGCGTACTTGGTGAAGTTCTCGTTGAACAGCTTGCCGAGCTTGTTGACCTCGTCCTTGAAGCTGGTGGATGCGATCCAGCTGTTCTTGGGGTTCAGGAGCTCCGAGGGAACATTGGGGCAGCTCTTGGGCACGTGGAGGTTGAAAACATCGTAGACCTCGTACTCGGCGTTGGCCAACTCGCCGCTGTGGATGGCGTCCAAGATGGCACGGGTGTACTTCAGAGGGCAACGCTTACCGCCAGTGGTGGCGCCAGCGCCAACCCAGCCGGTGTTGAGCAACCAAGCATTGGCCTTGTGCTTCGAGATCTTCTCAGCCAGCATGGTAGCATAGCGCATGGGGTGGAGAGCCAAGAAAGGCTGGGCGAAGCAAGAGGAGAAAGTGGCCTGGGGCTCAGTCACACCGTCCTCAGTACCGGCCATCTTGGAGGTGTAACCAGAGATGAAGTGGAACATAGTCTGCTCGGTGGTGAGCTTAGAGATCGGAGGCAGAACACCGCGAGCATCACAAGTAAGGAGAATGATGTTGGTAGGGTGGTTGTCAGAGATGCAAGGAATCTTGGCGTTATCGATGTACTCAATGGGGTAAGCACAGCGGGTGTTCTCGGTCAAAGTCGAATCATCGTAGTTGACGACACGGCTGATGGGGTCGAAAACAACGTTCTCGAGGACGGATCCGAAGCGGATGGCGTTGAAAATATCGGGCTCCTTCTCAGCAGAGAGGCCAATGCACTTGGCGTAGCAACCGCCCTCAATGTTGAAGACGCCACTGTCGGTCCAGCAGTGCTCGTCGTCACCAATCAGGGCACGGTTAGGGTCGGCAGAAAGAGTGGTCTTGCCAGTTCCAGAAAGACCGAAGAAGACGGTAACATCACCATCCTTACCCTGGTTGGCAGAAGAGTGGAGGGTCAGGACGTTGTGCTTGACGGGCATCTCGTAGAACAGGACAGTGAAAACACCCTTCTTCATCTCTCCAGCATACTCGGTACCCAGGATAACCATCTCCTTCTCCGCAAAGTTGATGGCAACAGAGGTAGCAGAAGTCATACCCTCAGTGAAACGGTTGGCAGGGAAAGAACCGGCGTTGTAGATGACATAGTCGGGGTGGAAGTGCTTGAGCTCCTCTTGGGAAGGGCGGATAAGCATGTTCCTCATGAAGAGGGCATGGTAGGCACGAGCGCAGACAACACGGACACTGATGCGGTATCTCTCATCCCAGCCAGCGAAACCATCGATGACATAGATACGGTTGCGGGTGTTGAGGTAGTCGACAGCACGCTCACGGTTGATACGCCAGACCTGTCAATCGGATTAGCTAATCAGCCCTATATAGATGACATCATATAGTGACACGGCGTCGAGGCAGATGCATGTAGCCAGCGCAAAAAAGCGCGCACAAGTGACACAAGCAAGGGCCGGAGTATTAGACTGCCACACGACATGTACGAAAAAATGCCTCATACGAATATTGAGGTATTTTTGTATGTCTCGTAGCATTCCTATCTCCACATCCCAGGAAAGCTTGGCCTCTCGGCTGCGCAAAGCGCCAGCGATCTGCACTAGAGCAAAGCAAGGGGCAAAATGCGCGATTAATGCGAGTGCAACTTACATCAGGAGTCATAGGCTTGTTAACAGGGCCCCACCAGATATCTTGCTCAGAAGATTCCTCCTTCACAATACGCTTATCTGAAGGGGAACGGCCAGTTTTGGCACCAGAGTAGGCAGTCAGGGCACCTGATGATGTGATGGCAGTACCAGTCTCGTAAACAAGAGCATCTTCGTAGAGAGCAGGGACGGCAGGGTTAGCGATCTAATGAACGTTAGCGACAGATCCTTCTGGTTATCTGCATCGACTAGGAAATCATACAATAGCGACACGCTCGTAATCGATGTGAGCGTGCTCGTGAAGCTCTTCCTCCAGCTCGGTGTGACCCTTGCCAGGCCTAGTTGATAGATGTTAGCCATGACTCTCGTACTAACAAGAGTGGTTGACGGAGGGAGGTCAGAGGCCTGATGTAGGCCAGTCCAACCTAGCCAAGATAAAAGGACGATGAGCTAAGGAAAGGAGAGGAGACGTACTGGACACCACCAGGGTGCAGAGCAGTGCGATTCACAGATGTGGCAACCATGTTTCTTAATGATGTAGAATGATAGTTATTGTTGCGCTGCTTTGCGACTTGTTGTTGGAAGAAATCTGTGTAGAGAGGACCTTTTTCTGCTGGGGAAGCACGGGGTATATTAATGTTTTCAGCAGAAGCCATAATCACAGCAAAGTAAGTCCAGAATGCGTTTCAGTCTTCGACTCCGATATGCTTCTCCACAGTTTGACGGGAGATATCGGGGCTGAGGACCGGGCTGAGGCAGCGTTGGTAACCGTGGAGTGTGTAAAATGCCTCTTAGGGTTTTCCGAGTTGTTCCGAACCCCAGATGTAGGCACGAAGTGGTTCCGGAAGACGGGTCGGGTGCACCAACTAGAGGCAAGAAAATGCGACTTTCGGAATAAAAGTAAAGGGGTGTCTCTGGCCGATGATAACGCGCGGATGGTATTCAGTCAAGAAATGTCTCATGCAGGAGAAAGATGCAGGTGTAATAAATTTAGTGCGGTGGGTTGTGGGTGCCCAGGCGCAGGAATGCAAACTATGCTTAGGACAGGCTGAAAGTACCGCTGCAATTGACAGCTTGACTACCCAATTATTTATGTCTTACATTCGTTTGCTATTACACAATGCGCAAAGTCTATTCGATCTGTATTTTACCTTTTCTTCATAGAATTCAATCAATCAGCCCCGAGGGTTTATGCGGGCAGATGGAAAAGTCTGCAAAGTGGTGACGTTGAATGATCTCAGTCTACTCTTTCTGCTCTCTTCTGTTTGGGTCAAGCGGCCAAGACCCAAATTGCGGGGAGAACATTTTCGGCTAGACCTTTACTGCCGGACCGGGGGAGCTCAAGACCACATGGGTGAAAACAAACGCTCTAGAAGAGTAACGACGATGTCGAAATGCCCAGTGGCGCAGTATCGCCCCCAAACGAGTGACTATCTTTAGCCCCTCTTCAGGGTAACAATCAATAGAAACCAATAATCACTTCATCCTAACCAAACGAGACGTGCTCATGACGAAATCCCGGCTGAATTCTCGGGTTCCCGTTCATCATTTTAAATGACGCTTTCCTCCTTTAGGCATACTGTTAGTCATTCGGCTCCCGAGGCTAACCGTTGCCGACCAATCAGAGCCCCCCTCTCTGTCTGATTTTCAATCCAACGTCACAAAGTGGGCAGAAGATATTGCCGCGGTTTTCGCTCAGAAGGAGAAGGAAGGCATTCATTGTTCCTTGTTCTAGGTGAAGATTCGTTTGAATACCATAGTAAAAATACTTGCCCCTAGCATGACGATATTACCCCTTTGCAAACTATTATCTGATATGAACTTTGCAGGATTCAAAACTTATCTCGGACCCATATGCCAGGAATGAGTTCCTGGACGAGGCTCTGCGTAATAGGGATAGTATCCACGCAAAAAGCACATGAAAACCTGATCGCCCAGGAACTTCCGAGTTCTCCCCAAAATATTCCGAGACACTACGTACTGGTCAGGCGCCCCTGGTCATTTCCCACGCGATGTCAAGTGATAAGCGCTCTTCGGCCAAGAATTTACCAGTGTCGACCCAATGATGATGTAGGCCTACGAAGGACACATGCCGGTAATCGATAGTACACTACCGCCTCCCTACCACTAGGTTCCTTTTGGTATCTTACCTTCGTCTGTACCCCGCATCCGAAACGCCTGGGCCACAACGGATCTCTTCCGGGCGCTAATCCTCCCCTGGAAATGGACAACATTCTCGCCTACAACGAACCCAGGCAACAATGCACACGACCAGATTAATGTTCAGAATTAACGGATATTGATTCTTTCAATTCGTGTAAAAAGGCCATGGCCAGGACTACCAGGCTTCAGTATTGTGGAGATCCACAAATCGGGTAAGTTAGGAACATCAACTATTCCTAAAATAAGGCTCTATCACATTTCGGCCCAGGCTCTAGAGTTGGGTCGGGAAGTGGGTACGGTAAGGGCTCCTATTACGGAAGATTTAGGAAGGAGTCCGCCGTGAAGACGCAAAAATCGACACCTCTTACATACTTCTAGGGGTAATTACTAAAAAAAGTGGAAAATGCCTCATAGTACTCCATTCAGGAGTGGTCTAGACAGAATCTGAACAGCCACAGATACAACTTAAGTAAAAAAGGGACATGCTGTCACCGACTTTGTAAACATTCATCCCTGCGATAGGATGGAATATGATAACGATTGCAGGCTTACCACCAATGAGGGTACCTACCTCGCTGATGCCTGAACATAGATAGTAGTTGCTGCTGGGTTCTTCATGTCACGCAGCACCTACTTGTGGTCATTCGTCAGACTTGGCCAGAATCAGTCGGATGAAGAGGGTATAATCGGCGGTGAGATCAGTCCCAAAGTCAACAATCAAATGTAGTGTGAAGCATCCCCTATCCGAATTGTAACGGTGGTGATAGGTGCCTGAGGCAAACAATTCACGCTGCATCACGTGGACGCAGAGGATTCTCTTGAATGCCTGGAACGCAATTGCGGATGGACCCGTCTAAAAATATCGAGGAGCGATCATTGGTCACATTACATGTTCAACTTCACCAAAAAATCAACACTTAGGATATCTACAGTTTTACCCAGTATTGAATTCAGAGGGAAAGAACATAATCAGTAATGCTCAATTATAATCGACTGGACAACATAGACAATATTCTTTACGAGGTGCTTCATAAAGAATTCCTGTTCCAACCGTTAGCCCCACTGTATCTCGATCCGATCTGAACTGAACTCCGCTCAGGACACTAGCGGTTGATCTTTTTCTCACGGACATCCATGACCCGCGGCGGAACAATGGGCACGCTCTTGGATGCCTTGTGGCGACCAAGAAGTCCTTCCAGTCAGGTTTGGCGTCGGTACATATGGCATTTTCTTGTACTCTACATAATATTGCTGGGTGTAGTGCTTCTAACCCTTGTGTCAAAGCTGAATGGGGAAAACCGTGTATCAGTGCGAGGTACGATCCACTGCTATCGGGCCTGTGCAACGTGACTAACGCCGATCTAGAAAAGATTCATAGCCCTTATAACCCGCTACCATTGACAATATCCAAAGCACTGGTTTTGGCTAAAATACGAGAAGAAAATGTATCCTGGGTGGACGATCTTCAGCCTCAGTTAGCGTTAGCTGTTTCCTATCGTCGGAACCTGAACTGATAGTTTTCGATACAGATGGACACCATATATCTACACTGTTGATAATGAGCCTGGGTACTTTCCGGTTCCGGAGAACAAAGGGCGCGAGGGCATGGTGTACTTGACGCACATTATTGACCAGTACGATACCTTGACTGATATCACAGTTTTCATGCACGCATCAGCTACACAATGGCATAATGATGTTGGTGACACAAATTCGTCTACTGTCCTGTCTATGCTGCGCCTCGAGGCGGTAAAGCAGACAGGATATGCGAACCTTCGTTGCCATCATCGTCCGGGCTGTCCAACCGCAGTCCGCCCTTTCGATCCCGAGCTAGTTTCAAGCTCAAGCATTGTATACCGTAATTTCACCACCATCTACACTGAACTCTTCAACACATCAATCGAAACGGTACCAAAGGAGATTGGGGGAGTGTGCTGCGGTCAGTTCGCTCTCACTAGAGAACGGATTCATCAGCGACCACGAGAAGACTATGTCCACATGCGAGATTGGGCTCTCTCTACGAGTCTAGATAACTTTACCGTTGGGTCTGTATTTGAAATGCTCTGGCATATGGTATTCTTAGAGGACCCAGTTTCGTGAGCATCATCCGTGCTTGGTATTACTAGGAATGAGCACGGTGCTGACTTGAAACTAGATGTCCGGATACCCAGCAGTGCTATTGTGAACTTTACGGTCTGTGTAATGAGTAATGATATATGTATTCTTTCGTTCTTGATTATTTTGATATACATCCAAGCACGGTTCTATGAAGAACGCCACTTGACCGGGGTCCAAGCTTACACATCTTGCATGACCCACTAATGACTTGTTTTATGACTCTCGACGTTCTCTAAGACATGTATCTTCGACTCTTTGCTTCATGTATTGTCACATGCATTCTCCAATGCACCAAATGAATCCTCTGAAAAGGATGCTACCATCCATATATAATAAACGGAAGGAGAGTTTTTATCATGTTACCCCAATAAGACCCCCCTTCAATACCCCTGTATTTCAACGAGAATTTTCCGATACACGCATCCCGAAGGATACCTACCCCGACCCGAAAACAGGGATCGGGTTCATTGTCCGTGTTCGATCCTAATCCTCCCGATAGAGTGTTCAAGATACAAAAGATATATCCGGATCGGAGTCCCGACGGGCGCCTGGCAGCGAATGTAACCTGTCATATAGGCAGGTCTATTCGTTCCGAGTAGCCGGTGACATGAGAGGGACTGTTTCATTTATTGTTGTGTTTATTCTGTGTTTGGTTTAGATTGAGGTGCCCAGGTGGGTTAGGTGGATTTCCTGGATAAGTAATCTGTTTACACCCTGAACTATATGTCAATTTTATCCGATGCTGAGTGAACATATTTTGGCCGGAGAAAGAAAAGGCAATATAGCACATTGTATACTTAGTAATATAGGGTACAATACTATTGATTATTTAATTAATTATTTTCACTTTTAGAAATACAAGAATCCTCTGTTTAATGAAGCGATATGACAAGGAACCCTCTAACCCCACCATAAAATTATATATCGGGTCAACTCAGCTACTACATCCAAATCACCACAAAACACCAAGAACCCTCTACAACAAAAGCCACCCAGGAGATTAAACCAATCTCCCAGATCCCAGATACCCCTCCAAAAGTTCACACCTAATCCCAACAAATAATAACGCAGTCTATGTGTTGTCAATCTCGTGATAGGCTCACACCACCCAAAAGCGGGGCAAAAAAAGCACAACCCAACGCACGGCGGGGTAATTCAGATTCAAATCACCACTCGTCTATTTCTCATTACTCACTTTTCCCACTTTCTTCACTCTACTACTAGTACTCACTCCCTGATTTTATTTTTCACTCAAGGTCCCCAATAGCAACCTAGCTCGGTAAGACTTATCATACTTCTGCGTTGTGTTAATTAATGGGCTTTTGTTTGGGAGGAGAGAGACGCTAATTTGAGATCCGTGCTGTAGTTCTCTATC